CACACATTGGGACACTACAGGGGGCTGCACCTGTGTATGTGCGTGTGTGTGTGTGGGTGTGTGTTTATGTGTGTGTTGGAGCTATTACCACTTGCTGTGACACTTAAACATGATACTTTTTCATCCCTCTCCTGTTTTTTTTCTTTTGCTATTTTGAAGTAAACTGCATTCAAAGCAATACGATGGCTATATATTGGACATGGATCTTTTTTTTTTTTTTTTTTTTAAGTTTTAACCAAAAAATAATTTGCTGCTTCATAGAAAAATTCCTGTAACATAACTAAGAAAGGGCACTTACGCCCTCAACGCCCACAGAACGGGTTCGGGCAGCACCCAATTCAAATCTTGCACGTGACCCCGGTTTGGGTCCCACTCCGGCTGTTCCCACTGTCGCAACACTCTGCACTTCAGCGCCAGTTAGAGTGGCAGCAAAGCACACAAAGAAAGCGGTGTGTGTGTGTTAATATGTTTGTGAGGGTGACATCACCCCACAGAGGTCGTGCTCGAGTTCTTCACTCAGCTCTGGGTTCGGAAATGAGCGAGTAGGTCAACTTTTCACTCAAATGTTTTCTTTTTTAGAACACGTCATGCATTTTCAGGGTGAAAATCCTATTTTTTTGTCATTACATCTTTTTTTAGTCTCTGTTTTTTATTGGTGAAAATAAAATAGCAACCAATAGACTTTTACATGCTGTAAATACCATCACGGTCACTAAGCAACTGTGGAGAACCAGCTGACACACACTCTCTCCATAGGAAACCCTCTCATAAACTCATTAACTGAAATAGGTGGTTTAACTACTGTTCAGCCCCTGGCTACCAAGCTAATGGCTTCCTGTACAACACACACATCCACACACAGGCAGAGTCAGACTCTGTCTAAACACACGTTCTGACCCGACAGGAAATGTGTGTACCTCCCTCAATGACAGGTCCCAACGTACAGCACTCCCAGAGTGCACCTCTCTCCCTCTGCTCTCCATACTTTAACGGCCATTTCCCCTTCATTCCATCCGATGCACACGGTTCAAACATCATAGAGGCACCTGTGCTGCTGCCACTGGAAGGGGAGACGGGGCGCTTCTTGTCTGTCTGCATCAGTCCACCTAACTAATCTTATGTGAAATAAAAACCAGAGAGAGACAGAAACCAGGGGTTCCATTTCTACCACCCGTGCCTTGTTTCCGGCTCTTCATTTGGACGGGAGAGAAACTTTCTTTCTACACCTCGAAACATCCATTTGCCTCTGTTTGAAGAAAAAAGGGAAGAAAGAAGGAAAAGATAAAACAGCACATGTAACAATCTGTTTGCCGTGTGTGTGCGTGTTTGCGCGTGTGATGGGAGCAAAGTGAGGTTAGATTATAGGGTCTGGGCTCTTGGGTGGGGGGGAGGTGGAGGGAGCCGCAGGGGGGGTTGGCGGCACACGGACAGCTAGTGACATGATGGCACTCCTAATGGTCATAATTGGCAGTGGCTTTGACAGCAACTATATGATAGCTTCACAATATACACATCTCTGACTGTGCGAGCGTGTGTGTGTGTGTGTGTGTTTCTTTAAGAACAAATTTACACAAAATTGCAGCAAGGTTGTTGAACCGCTTGTTTGCACCTGCCGCCTGTTTCTCTCTTTCTTTCTTTGTGCGTGTGAGAGTCAGATATAAATATTGTATAAACACAGTTGAGTTGGCTGCTGACAGGTGTAAAAGGTAGCAGTTAAGCTCGCTCCCCTCCCACCTGTTTTTGCTCTTTTTTTTTAATGCTGCTTAAACACACACACACACACATACAGAGACACGCACACACATGCACACACACACGGCGTGGCAGTGTTGCTGTTTAAAAAAAAAAAAAAAAAGCAGCAGGTGCCTTTTTTTGTGACTTCTTCAAAATGGAAATTAAACCTTCAACTGATCATCTGCCCGTCACCTATTTCACCCATTTACATTTCTATTTTTAAGACACCTTCTGGTGTTTCAGCTGTAGTGAAGGATGGTTTAGTACTGTGCAATCTTTCTAAAACAAAAACAAAGACTTTAATAGTGAAAATGACATGACATTTACAATCGGCTGTCTAAAGCACACCTGGTAGACGGGAGATAATACCAAAGAAATTCCTGGGTTCTTTCTCTCGGATTTACTTATCGTCAGGCCCGACAGAGGTCCGTAGCCGAAAACAAGAATGTGGTCGAGATGAAGTTCACATCCCCGACAAAGTGACTAAAATCACATGCTGTCTCTATTTATCTGCGTTGTTTTCTTCTTCGTCGTCATACTGGGATTTCCTTAAAAGTCAAAAGTGGGTCAGCAGAGCTAGAAAGTGTGCGACAGTTCAAACTGTCTGAATTTTGTTTTGTGTATTTGCGAGACTCAACAGTGAAAGAGTGAAAGACCGAGATAGAGAGTCACAGAGAGAGAGAGAGAGAGAGAGAGAGAGAGAGAGAGAGAGAGAGAGAGAGAGAGAGAGAGAGAGAGAGAGAGAGAGAGAGAGAAAAAAGCACAATCTCTCTCGCGCACGCGCGCGAGAGAGTGTGTGTGTGTGGTGTGTTGTGTGTGTGTGTGTGTGTGTGTGTGTGTGTGTGTGTGTGTGTGTGTGTGTGTGTGTGTGTTAGAGCCAAAAACGCTCCCTCTGATCTTGGTTCAAAGGCAGCAGGGAAGAGGCTCAAAGCATTCTGGGTCCAGGGGAGAGATGGAGGGATTGAGGGAAAATTGTGGAATGACACAAAGAATAAAAAAGAGAACGACTAAAAAACAAAAAAGTCAAGGAGCGTAGGAGATAGATGCGGAAAAGATTCCCCAGGGCTGGCAAATCATTCAGAGCACACATGGATATGTTGTGTTCAAAAGCCTCTTTTTGATGTAAACGTGCAGTCACATCTCAAATATCATGATTTAGTGCACCAGCTCAGATCCACGGAGTCTGGAAACAGTGAAATAAAGCCCAAGTTGATTGGTCTATACCCCAAAAACCAGGACTCCTCTTCTGCTAGATCTAAATTTGAAGTCGGCTTTGAAAAGCCTCTCAAAAGAGCATTAGTGGAAAAGGAATTAGTGCCATTGAAAGTCAATGGAGGTTAGATAAGCTGTGGTACTTGATACTATTAGAGAGACAAACCCTTGGAAGTTAAGGCCTTAAGTTCAGAAACAGTGCTGGTACCCCACTGTGTGTGTGTGTGTGTGTGTGTGTGTGTGTGTGTGTACGTGTGTGTGTGAGAGAGAGAGAGAGAGGAAGAGTCTGATGGTCTTAACAGTAAAACTAATAGTGGATGACTGCCTTAGCTGAAGGCTCACTTCTCTGTGAAGTTTCCAGCTGCCTTTAAAAGACACACACACACACACACCGATATGGACACACACACAAACTTTTTGGAAAGTCAAACATAAAGCCGTATAGAAGGTGGATTAAAAAAAAAGAAAAAGGGAAAAGTAGAAAGGAAAAAGACAATTTCATGTGGCGGGATGACGTGATATTAATCTTATTTTTTCTCGTCGATGTAAGCCATCTTCGCTTTCAGGAATCTCTGGGGTTCGTTATGATGGATGGAGCTGAGGGAGAGAGTAACGGGATGCAAGGGAAAACAATTTGGGAAAATTTACGCCTCGGTTTTCGCAGCAGTTTTGTAGAGAGCATTGCAACGTTTTATGGCCCGCTGTCCGAGTCCATTTCCTCTCATTTTAATTAATTTAGCCTTATGGTTTCTTTACTCGTAGTTTATTTTGAAAAGTCACTCACCATCAAATACCGTGTCACTCATGTCTGATTAGCTGTCTGTTTAGCTGTTGAGCTGTAAAGGTTAAATGCACAGTTGGCCGCTAAAACATGCAGACATGCCTTTGGTGTGTGTGAGTGTGTGTGTGTGTGTGTGTGTGTGTGTGTGTGTGTGTGTGTGTGTGTGTGTGTGT